CTCTAGGAATGTTTTAGCACGTCCTGAGGGACGCACAATGAATACAAAATATTCGTGCTTAGAGAATCCATGAGAGTAGGGATTATTTTCATGGTTTCATTGGATATGAGTGCTTAGACTGAGGTCTCAATACGTGAATATTTCTATGCAGAGTTACAGTTGGATTTGATTTTGCAATTAGGAACTACAATTTCTGGCTCAGTTTAAAAACAACTTATGTCTATTAGTTTTCCTATGTACATGGGTGTTTTTACAGATGAGGCAGAAATTATAGTTCCTAAGTGCAAAACGAAGTCCAATTGGACGTATTTCTACCAAACAGAACTATGTGCATTAAGACATGAGCCCTGAGACCCATAAGAATATATGCATAACAGGGCTCAAGTCATAATGCACATAGTTCCGTTTGATAGATATACGTCCAATTGCAAGTTCTTTTTCCGTTGTCAAAGATGTCAAGTTAAACAATGTATTAAAATTGTGAGAATATTACTGTCGTTCAGGAAGATTGTTAATGTTCCTGGCAAGATCAATCAATTTAGTGGCAAATTAATCTGTTTATTGATACACACTGAATAGATTTTTAATTTACTGGTTAATATCACTTACTTAAATCACTTTTCCTGCATTGTACAATTGGATGACATTTTGCAATAAGGAACCATTATTTCTGGCTCATTTCAGAAACAACACAAGTGCCATTGGTTTCCCTATGCAGATATGTGCTTTTATAGGAGAGCCAGAGAGAGTGGTTCTTTATTGCAAAATGTAATCAAATTAAGCTTTCAATTTCTAAAAGAGACGGTCATCAAACACAAATATAATTATACACAGTATTCATGCAGGGAAAGAAATGATTTGAAATGTAAATATCCGAGGGATAAGAAACGAAATCGATGCAAAACATGTTTGAGCTCTGATTTTTTTTCTGCTTCTTCTTTTTGGGCGCCAAAGAGCCAGAGCGTGGGATCGCGATCGCTTTAATTTGTTTTTATTTAGAGAAAGGCGGAAAGAACAGGATGAGTAAGCAGATATTATATCGAGGCGAAGCATTCAATTCAGTCGTTAAAATGTCATACTGGCAGTTATTTACACGGTAGATTAACCAGCTTTGGGCAACCGATTAACGACGCTCCAGAAGGTGTGACTTTTATGTAACGCAAAAATTTCTTTTTTTGCGATGACTCAGATAAAGCGAGGCTCGACAAAAAACTGAAGGGAAAAAATCGAAAGTGAAGCGGTATTTGAAGAGATGTTCAGGATGCTCTCAGAAACGAAAAATTCAAGCGACGGAGGGAGGGAAAAAGAGCATGAATGAAAAAGAGGTTACGTAAATTCTACTTCTCGGGTGAACATTTTCTTCTTTTTTTTCGCGTGGCAGTTGGTAAGTAGGTATGATTTAACCGTTTTAAAAAAATGCAAAGCTCAATAAAAATCACGGTACTGTTTACGAATAGTTTAATTACTGCGAATTTTTATTGCAAGACTAACGTTGAGAGGTAATAAAAAGAACAGAGAGCTTCGGAACTTATTTTTAAAAAAATAAAAATCTTGATAACACCATGATCTCTGGAGACCAAAGAGCGAAACATTCTGTGAGTGAGGGAAGTTTTCAAACGGAAATACCCTTACAAGATTACAGTGATTTTTGGAATTCAAAAGTAAAAAAAAATCCTAGATCTTTACAGACACGAAAGTGCACGAAATCGCTTAGTTTACATTTTCCATGAAAGACAAAATCTTGGGGTTTCATGTACCTAAATTATACTTCATAAACTTTCAGAGAAATATGAAAGATATAGAAAGTCACATTTCGAATGTAAATGTGAAATTAAACGAGAGGCAAATGGTTTCTGCGTTTTGGTGTTCTCTGGTGCGTGTTGCATGTTCAGTTCCTGAAAATAAATTTCGTATTTTTTACAGCTTCGTGAAATTTCATGAAATATTTTACGGAATGGATGTTTCCAAAGTGTCATTTCAAGGTGACTACTAAAACAAGCTGGCCATAAAGCGGTACTTTTATAGTACTTTTCCAGTCCATTCCCAAGAAATTCAGTACCTCCTCATTTAAGAAATTCAGTACTTTTTCAGTACCTCCAATTGACGAAATTCGAAAATTTTCAAATATTTGAATTTCTCATTCAAATTGCGACAAAAATGACAAAAATTCCGGAACCTTCTCGCGAAATTCCGCACTTTTTCAGTGCTTCCGGACCGCCCTTAAAAAATCAGTACTACATCCGGACTTTCCGGAAATTCCGGACTTGTAGACACCCTGCATTTTTTTATTTCTCTCATGAAACCCTGACTAAAACTATAACATATTTTTTACAGCTGGTGAAATTTCATGAAATATTTCACGGAATGGAAAGTTCAATGTGTTATTTTTCATTTCACTCTGTGAAACTCAGACTAAAACTCGCCGGTGAATTAAAAACTACTGACTCTTCAAGGTTTCCATGAGTTTTCGAGAACTTGTCATCCTGCGCAATGTGGCTCACTTCCTTTGTATTGCAAGTTCGGTCCATTCATCATCGCGGCGAACCCTCTTCTGAAACCGGGCATTCCGGAGCAGCGGAGGAGCACCGGGTGACAGACGTGACAAAATGCTCTGAATCTGATATCGATCCCCCGCGCTTTTCGAAAGGGCCGAGGTTGACAGCTGTCCCTATTCAGACAGACTCGGGTGAGCTTCAGACTGGAGTCTGACTGTTAGTTTTCCGGATCGGGAGACAAATACAAAGAAGAAACGGAGAAATAAGTAGAAGGTGAAAATAAAAAGGTAGAAAAAGAAGAAAAAGAAGAAAGAAGAGGGAGGGAAGGACGGAAATGAGAAGATAATGAAATTTTCGTTTCACTTTAGTATTCCTCTTCTTATTCTTCTCCTTATTTATCTTATTTATTTCTCCTTTATTTTCTGCATTTTCGTCTTCTCTGTCCTCATCATCTCTCTTATTTTCTATTTTTTTTTCTTCGTTTTTTGAATGGGAAGACGACGGTGAAAGCAAAGAGGTAAAAAGAAAGAAGACGGAAAAGGAGAAAAAAAGACCTTCTTTCTCCATCCCTTTGGTCTCCTCTCCTCCTATTTTTTCTTTTGTCTTCTTGTCCTTGCCATTTCAATGCCCAATCGGGCGCTCCTTAGGTCGGCGCAAACATGAAGCCTTTCTTAACTGGACTGCATTTTGCAATTTGGAACTATAAATTCTGGCTCATCTGGAAAAACACTTATGTGCAATTGTGCATAGGGAAACTATGGCACATACGTTGTTTTTAAACCGGGCTAAAATTTATAGTTCCAAATTGCAAAATGTAGTCCAATTATAACTGTGGATTTTTGTATTTATTTTTTTTTTTTTGCTCCAAGCCTTAAAAAAATGATGGGACATTTTACCGAAAAATCGACTATTTTGCGAAAAAATTGAACGCTTACTTGTAAGGACAAACGCCGGATCAAATTAAACGGTTGGCTTTTGGAACTTTTTGCATACCCCTTCTTAATTCCTCTCCTTCTTCTCCGACCTCTTCCTTTTCCACCTGTTTAAATCCCTCTGCCTCTTTTTCTTATCCCCCCCTCTTCTTTCTTCTTATTCTTCTTCGTTCTCGTCTTCCAATTCGGAAAACGTAGACTCGGATCTAAAGGACGCACGTCTGTCAGACTAGGGCTAATCGAAGACGGCACTACAAGAGAACATTAAACAGATAAATGGAGAGATCCAATTAACACCGCGATAATCGGCATTCTTAACACGATTTTTCGCATCTCCGCGAGATAGCATCCGACAGCTAGACTGCCATGCTAAGGAAGAACGCCGTATGAGCCTTCAGACGTTGCCAAGTTTCCTTCCATAAAAACCGAAATTACTGGGAAAATTGTGAATGTTTTTTTCTAAAATTTTTAGACAATTTTCTACGCAATTTCATCTAAAATATCTGAAAATTTCAAAAAAAATGTGCATGATTTTCGTCAAAAATACATGTTTTATTAAGGGAAATTTGGCAACTTTCGGATGTTCATACGGCGTTCCTCCTTAGCACGGCATTAGATTGCTTGTGCCTTGTCGATTAGGTTGCTCTCCTTGCTAGGGATAAAGATCGGTTCTCTGATGCTTCGCTGAGGAAAAACGTATCAACATTCAGAAGTTGCCAGATTTCCTTCAAGAAAACAAGAATTTCCCGGACATATTTATAATATTGTACCTTGAATTTTTTACAGAAATTTCATTGACATTTTTCCTCAAGTCCTTGAAAATTTCACGGAGAAATATTCGAAGTTTTTCATGAAAATGAATATTTTATTCGGTGAAATATGGCAACGTCTTAGTGTTCATACGGCGTTTTTCTTCGGCACGGTAGTACTGCGGTAAGACCAAAGAGATACCGAAAATGGAAAGAGATGCGTGCATTGAATGGTGAATTAACCATTCACTCGCGGATGAAAAAGTTAAGAACTGTTGCCAGGTTCCTGTGTTGTTTAATCTACAGGAAATCTAGAAGTCTTCGACAGATGTCTATTTTGCCGCGCTAAGGAAGAACGCCGTATCAGCCTTTATGCGTTGCCGTGTGTTCTTCTAATAAAGAAGGAATCTACTGAGAAAATTGTTATAGTGTTTCTTTAAATTTTCCGGTAACTTTTGTCCGCATTTAATCTAAAATATCTGAAAATTTCAAGGAAAAGTGAACATAACTTTCCTCAAAAATGCATGATTCATCCGGAGACATTCGGCAACCCTCGAATGTTCTTACGGCGTTTTTCCTTAGCGCGGCAGTATTTGCGTAAACTGAGCGTTGGGTAAGTGATGCTGAGTTCACTCACACGAGGAAAATAGTAACTAAAAATTGGAATTATCGGTCGTTGATCGTACTTCCAAAACAAATACGTCTTCTGACGGAGGAAATTCGGCAATATTTGAATGCTGATGCGCGGTTTTTTCCTGAGCACGACAATAATTTGAACGGCGATACACGATACGTATGAGGAAGAAATTACGGTGGGGGCTTACCTTAATTTCGTGGTATTTCTCCTCGAGGTAGTACGCGATGTTGCGTGCCTCCTCGTACTTGCGCGAGATGTCCAGGTACGTTTCGTAATGCCGCTTGAAGAGCACGAATCTGAAACAATCAACCCATGATTAGGTACCGCTACGCACAACTTTTTCAAAACGGGATTCGGCAATAATTCCCCCGACGAAATTGACAGTCTATCGCTCTCCGCTCTGAAATTAGGGTTCTTATTTTCCCATTCTTTCCATCATGAAATTCTGACTCGTATAAATTATATTTAGCCCTCCCCCAAGATAACGTCGTATGACGGATAAAAGGACGTAAATATATTCACAAGTTGCGGAATTTCTACACAGAGAGAAATTTTAACCAAGGTGTCTGCTAAAACAGGCTGGCCAAAAATCAGTACTTATTCAGTTTTTTTTTCAGTACAATCCCGAGAATTTCAGTACCTCCTTAACAGAAAAATTCAGTACCTTTTCAGTACCTTCATTTGACGAAATCCAGAAAATTTAAAAAATTTGAATTTCTTGCTCAAATTGCGACAAAAAAATGAAAAAATTCCGGACCTTTTTGGGGAATTTCCGCACTTTTTCAGTACTTCCGGACCACTCTTAAAAAATCAGTACTATTTCCGAAAATTAAGCACTTGTAGACACCCTGTTTTCACAGAAAGGTTTGGTTAATATAGGAAGTAAAACACAAAATAGCGCTAGCCTCCGGTTATTTCAAGAGAAAATGCCGGCTATTTTTCTTGAAGAAATTCAATAAGAAATGAGCTGTGAATACCGACGTCGCAATCGTAAGAATGCATTTTCCCAGTATCCACGGCCGGATTTAGGGGGTGGCCATATGGGCCGCGGCCCATGGCGGCAAATTTAGGGACCGGCAAATTTTGCAATTTTTTTTACATGTAACTACCTATAAAGAAAAATCGGATTCAGAGAAAAAATTACAAACGAGAAAAGGTGAAAGAATCTTTCATTTTCCAAGAGTATATCTCTAATTTTGTCGTCTTCCTGTGATACAATAGGCAGCACCTTTGATTAGTCGAGTTAAGAGAGAAACCAAACACACAATTTGGCCTGGAACGGCGCGACTAGGGGAGAAATGATGACGAGGACTTGAGATGAACAGGAGAAACCCTCGGCGCGGCGGTCGGCATGTAACACATATTAGCGCCTACAAGACTGCATGAATACTTCACGCATTGCGTGAAAGACAGTGCGGTCGGCGGGGACCGCATAGCGCCTACAAGACTGTTGGAATACTACACGCATTGCGGCAAACACAGTGCGGTCAGCGCGGCGCGGCGGGGGAGGTTAAAATTATTACATCACATTTATGATTGTTCTTTCATAATATTTTAGTTCATTTCATGTAAATGGAAGGCCTTGTCCACACAGAGATAGTTTTACGGAACTTAACTTTCGCGCCAAATTACGTGAACTTTTGCCAGTGGTGTTGACAGGGCTTTCGCAAAAAATGTATCCAACACGAGTAAACGCGTCTTATGCACCCCTCCCCCTCCGGCACGTTCTTATTGATGTTTCAAAACGATTGAGAAGGGGGTGGCAAAATACAGGCGGCCCATGGGCGGCATGCAAGTAAATCCGGCCCTGCCAGTATCTACATTGATTTCTGCGCTAAATTCTTCGCAAACTGTACCAAAATCAACACAAAATTTGTGTTTCACTTCCTGCACTAACCAAAATTAACACAAGAGCACAAGTGTTTTTATCAGTGCACGCATTTGAGAATCGAGGGACTTGGAGGACAAGACGCATAAGTTCAGCTTTTGCTATTTCGAGAAGTACGTGTTTGAAGTTTCGATGTTACGTGGATCCTTCGGGCGGAAAGAAATTTCAAAATGTCTTTTAGATGCTCAAAAATTTGAATTTGGGAGACAATTTTTCAAAGAATATGCAATAGGACTAGTTTTACTTGAAATTAAGTATTGGTAACTAATAACTCTATTTTTTCAAAAGCTGCACTTAATATGCGCCTTGTCCTCAAGCCCCTCAATGGACCACTAGACAAGGTACGAATTTCAGCATTCTGATACATGTTTCTTAACAAAAATTTTACGTAAAACACGGTGAGCACCACGAAAATTACCAAAATCAACTCCTGACGAAGATATTTAATGATTCTTGATGCGTGAATTCAAACCTTCCGCTCATGAAAACTCAATGCTCTACGTGATTCACATCGCGCGCTAAATGTTTATCGTGACAGTCTCTGCGATGTAAAAATCTTCAACTTCAATCTTGACACTTTGGCTCAGCTATAGCAAATTACCAATAGTATAAACGACATATGGTGGAAAATGAACATTGCGCGATTGAGAAGCTTGCTGAAACCGTTGTAGTGCGCGATTTGACTCACGTAGAGCTTTGAGTTTCTTGTGAGCGGGCAGTTCAAATTCCTCGTAATCAGTGCGAAATAAAAACGTTAATATCTTCGTTAGAAGTTGATTTCGGTAATTTTTGTAGTGTGAATCGTGTTCTACGTGAAATTCTGGTTAAGAAACATGTATCAGATTGCTTAAATTCGTACCTTGTCTAGTGGTCCATTCTCTAACAATTCCATTTTTTTTAGACCTGTAAACACCCGGTATTTTTGTGGTTACATCCAAATGTTTTTCTCTACAAATCGAAAAAACCACGAAAATAGCTACGACTCACAGGAACAAAGAAAGCTTTATCCGAACCCCCTCCGTGACGCGACAGCGCAGCGTCGCACAGTAGAACGAGTCTTTGGAGGAAGTCGGACACGTAATTTTGGACAAAAATTGAAGAAATTTACATACGTTTACCTCGTCACAATTTTAATTTCAAGGAGTGCTCCTTATGGGAAATTTTACGAGAAGAACAAAGAAACTACTTTTAAAACATCCACATTTCATTTTGATGAAGATATACGCTTTTTAAAGTTTTTAAATCATGTCCGATATCTCTGATCGGCTCGATCCACTGTGCGTCGCGACGGCCTGGAATTCGGCAGGGCGATTCGTTAAAAATGTGATCATTTGCGCGGCGGTAAGCCGGAGCAATTTATTAAAATGGAAGGTCATGAAGACCTCCCTTCTTTCGTTCCCCAGTTATTTATAAACGTTCGTCTTGGGCGAGACATTCTCCGGTTCTTCGCGTCAGGATCAATTTCAAATTTTGAAGGAATTTCGGCGCTTGGGAGGGCCGCACGCGTCTAGTCTGTCTTTTGACGCACGGCGATCCTCCGTTAATCTCGTTGCCATTTGCATGCGGATGAGCCTGGGGCGGAGATGCCAACTGCCGCAGATTCCGAGATAATTCCGATTTCTGGAAACATATTCCGATTTGCCGAAGTTCCGAAAAAAAATGCGGGGGAAAATTCCAAAATACGCCCGGATTTAGTTTCGAAGATCGTCAAATTTGATCAAAATGTCCCTAAATTTGATCAAATTAATGGTCAAACTAGCCAAAAACCGCAAAGTTCGAGGAAATTCCAAGAATAGCTGAAAATTCCGGGCACTGGAAAAAAAACACATTGGATCTAGAGTCCTGACTCTTAAAAACATCGACAAGAAAAAATACTCTTGATTCAATCAGAATCTAGCTTGAATCAAGAACCAACCCTCTTAAATTGAGCGGATTTCCTTTCGATTTAAGCTTGAACCTGATTGAATCAAGAGTCCTTTTTCTTGTCAATGTGCTCAAGAGTCTGGACTCTAGATCCAATGTGTTTTTTTTTTCTAGTACGACCAGCGCCGAACCCGTTGGTAGCGCCTACAAGACTGCAAGAATACTTCATGCATTGCGTGCACACCACGGAGGATACTTCACGCATTGCGCGTACATCACGGTGCATATGAGCAATGCATGGAGTATCCATGCAGTCTTGCGGGCGCCAGTACGCGTTTCGCGCTGCCAGCACTGATTGTGAGAGAGTTTTCGAGAGTCTGGACGCTAGATCCAATGTAGTTTTTTTTCCAGTGAAATTTCCTATCGCTGGCTTCAAGAAAAGCCCAAATCAGAAAAAAATGACGATCTCGTAGATTAAATGTTGCAAAAAGGAACCACCATCTCTGGCTCTCTCATAAAAGCACATATCGGTGGTGTAGGTCGGCAATCACATAACTCTTTTGCGGTGTCGGAAAATCTCCGCGTCTGTATTATTTTTTAGAGGGGAACAAACTGACATCATTCCTTAAAGTTTTAGCAGAATTTTCTTTGCGCGGAGAGGAAAAATCACGGCAGTTTTCAAGAAATGCCGTAGAGTAGTTTTCCGTTTAAAAGTTAAAGTATGACGGGGAGTCTGCGACGTCGCAAACCGAGTTATGTGATTGCAGACTCACACCGTCGATGTGTGCTTAGGGAAACCAATGGCATGTATGTTGATTCTAAAATGGGCCAGAAATAGTGGTTCCTTATTGTAAAATGTAATCCTCGTGTAATCGTGAAAACGTGGACTGCATTTTGCAAAAAAAGAACCAGGAGCGTTCCAACGTCGCTAAGATTGTGCAACTTTTTTCACCTTGCAAATAAAAACAGACCATCTAAACAAACTTAATCTTGACCCACGATAAATTACGATTCAAAGACGAAAATTTGATTTTTTTCATGAATGCAGTTAGTAATTTTCTGCAAAGAATGTAAGTTGCACAATTCTAGCAACATTGGAATGCTCTCGGTTCTTTTTTGCAAAATGCAATCCAAGTGGTTTTCTCATGGTCACAAACATTTTATTTTTCCTCGCGATAAGTTTTTTTTTTCTTTTTACTCTATCCTACTTGTCTTTTTTTCAGAAATTCTTTCTTCCGTTTTGAATAGAAAAGACAGACACTAATTTTTTGTGTTCCGAAAAATTAAGGATCCAAAAAACTGAAAACTCTGAGTTCAGCCTGAAAATTTTGGATGATGAAAAATGTTTTTGCCGCCTGATGTTCAGTTCTTGAAAAGAGCCCAATAGTCAAAAGTATGAAACAGCTCGGTCCTTCTACAACGTAAAATGGACGGTTTAAAACCTTGGAGTCAAGCACTTTTTTAATATCAAGCAATTCATTTATCTGACTATTTATTCAACTATTAACTCGAATTTTAAAGAACTCGTGAGGCTAACACATTAAAAAGATACGACCGCACAAACTCACGTGTGTTAATTAGTAATGGACCATTAACCTGTGCCTAAATTACGATAGTATGCACTTCCTCATCAAATCAAGTTGCAAACAATGTTTCTAATGGATTTACACGCAAAATAGGTATTAGCGTTTTTTCTCTTCGAACGAAATTCTCCGAAATTCAAACGACCCTGCCATCGAAAAAACCAATAAACAAAGAAAAAATCTACTCGCGCACCCAAAAAATCTTGGCAATTCGTATGATGGAATAGTTTCTCAGGGTGCTGATTCTCATTCTCAGCTATAACCAGTTGCGTGGCGTGCTTTGCGATTTTTAGATTGGTCTATCATTTAAAGCTATGGAAAAGGATCGATAAACAGGGTGTTCACAACGAACACCTTAATATTCGATCTTTTACCATAAGTCTAAATGACCGATCAATCGATACATCGCAAAGCACGCCATTATTAGTTGACCATTCCGAGCCTTGCACAAAACTACCGTGGAAGGTACTTTTCCCACGGTTGCCATACTTTTTTGATCTTCAAATTCTTTCAGAGGATTTCAGATTCTTTCAGAAACACCCCTTTAAATTTAAAATATGACGAATTAAACATTAAAATTTGCAGTTTTGGTCAAAAATTTCATGTTTGACCTCTCCAATTGACTCGATCCACTGTGCGTGGACTAGAAAAAAGAACCTTGGTCAGCGGAATCGAAATTTGTATTACCTACTTTGGGCTGTTTTTGTAGAGTTGGGTTGAAAAATCAGATTTAAAGATTCTCTCCACAGTCCTAAAGAACGATTTACGACCGGGCAGGTTCGTGACCTTCACATGGCAAATCAGAATTTTAGCTCTCCTTCAAAACTAAGTTTATTGCGGGAGAGAGATCTTACTTAGTTTTCTTCAAAGAAAATGAAACATAATCAAAGATTTGTAAACTATGCGATCGAGATACATACTTTTCGCGTTGTGCACAGTGAAGAGCACACAGAGAATTTTCAACACAAAAGTTTGGTTAGTAAGTACAAGAAAGTAAAACACAAAATAACCCTAGTTTTTGGTTGACAATTTGAAGAGAAAATGCCACCTAGTTTTCTTGAAGAAATTTAATAAAAAACGAGTGGTGAATTCAAACGTCGCAATCGGAGAAATGCATTTTCTTAGTCTTTTCATTGTTTTCTGCGCAAAATTCATCGCGAACTGTACCAAAATCAACACAAAAATTGTGTTGGTTTGTGTTTCACTTTCCTATAACAACCGAACGTAACACAAGAGCACAATACTTTTATCAGTATAGATGTTTTTATGAATGAGCCAGAAATAATGATTCCCAATTTCAAAATGAGGTTTGATTATAGCATAAAAATTAACTCGCAAAGTTTTACTAAAATTATTTCTTATTTCCTCTTGAAACCATCTCGCCGATTTACAAATATTGTTAGCTCGTGCTCCTCAAATCTAAAAAGAAAAATACCCTGAAATTTATAGTGTAGAAGTCTGTAAGATATGAATAACAGTGTGAATGGAGTGAGAAAGGAAGAATGTTAACCAATAACTTATTTGTTTCAATACTTCCAAAAAAAGACAGAGAACATAATAATTCCTGTGTTAATCGAACGTTACTTTGTATATTTAGTGAAAGTAATTTATTTTATTTAAATTAAGTAGATAGATACAGGACATATTCTTGCAGTAGTTACTTTTTATTTCAATAAGATTTGTTAGGGAAAAAAAAAAAAAAATTACTGGGCGTTCGTGGTGAAAAATTGGCAGGCTCTTTTTCGGGTGTTCAGGAAGCAATTAAGTAGGAGTATTAACCGACGTAATTGGCTGTTTAACGTGGGCGGGCAACAAATCGACAATTAGCCGCGGCAATTTGCTCCCAAGAACCCGACCGATACGACGCGCTATGAGGATGGGTCTTTTTTCTTTTTCACAGCAAATATTTCAGGCATCCTCACAATCAGATAAGGGCCTAATTTAAAGCACAAAGTGAGATATATTAGTGGCTTAATAAACGCAAGTCTTGGGGTCAAAGCTCCATTTGGGATCAACAAACTTGTCCTCAACCCCGACCAAAATGGACCACTGGACCGCTGCCATGATAGCGAAGAGAGCAGTAAGTGCAAAAATGAAGTTTTGAGAAAACGGGCTCGGAAGATTCTGACCGGAAAATTTTATTGAAAAAAGCCTAATTTCTTTGTTAAATTGCCGATTATCAGCCAAAAAAATCTTAGAAAGCGGTTGGATGATTAAAAATCGACATATTGTTTTTCAATTAAATAAAAAAAGGTGTCATTCATTTCCATGTCAGGCTAGTGTTAGGCTTGACAGCCGTACTGCCGTGCTAAGGAAGAACGCCGTATAAACATTCGAGAGTTGCCAAATTTCTTCTCAGAAAATGGTTATTTTTGAAGAAAGTTATGAGTATTTTCTCTTGAAATTTTCAGGAATTTTAGGTGATAATGCAAACAACATTACCTGAAAAAGTGGAGGAAAAATATTTACAAATTTTCCAGAAAATTCGTGATTTCCGGAAGGAAATTTGGCAACGCCTGGAGGCTCATACGGCGTTTTTCCTTAGCACTTACGGTAAGTGCTATCTTCTGCATGCTTTCGTGGTTGCGTTTTGGACACATAACGAACACATTTTCAGATTAGAAATTGGCAGAAGAGGGCGGCCCTTTATAATTGGCTGTCTGGAGGAAAAATGTCACTTACTCCTTCCTTGCCTGCAACTACTTACAATATTGTTTGCGCACTTTTGGCTTTCTCATATACCTATGTGTCGTTTTTACAAAATTGAATTAAAAGTGAATTTTGCGGCATTTTCACATGCATTATTTTGTAGAAATATTGCAACATATTATTGGTGATCGCGGACAGTTTTCGTTTCTTCGCTGACCAGGAAGATAAGACAGACGAAAAGAACCAAATTCTTTCGAACGATAACAGCTGCGTGCGGCGCAGCGCAGCAGCGTCCAAACACACAATAGTAACGGACCCACATGCGTATCTCCCTCCAAAGAATAAGAAATCACGTGTGAGCATGTCGAAAAATTCACATTTCATCCCCGTTTCTCTCAACATTGGCACGCAGTCAGCCCGAGTTCAAAAATTAATTGAGGGGCTGGAAAGACAAGGCCAGACGCATACTTTAGTGCATTTTTTGCTACTTCGAGAAATACTCGCAGGTTCGAAGTTTTGAAATTACATGGATCCTTATGGCGGAAAGAAAGTTCAAACTGACTTTTAAATGCTTGAAAACTGGAATTTGGGAGCGAATTTTCCACAAATTATGCAATAAGACTCGCGTTTTACTTGAAAGCACTCATATCTCAATTTTTTCAAAAACTGCACCTAAGTACTAATATGCCTGGTCCTCCAAGCCCTTTTCAAAATATTTCATGCAACTACCCCATTGTACTTGTAAGAACGAAATTCGGCGCCGAATCCTTCGGGTTTCCGTGCAGGGTTCTTACTAGCTCGCGTAAATGACCAATATTGAAGTTCAATCGTAACGGTTGCAGACTTCTCGAGAAGCAACCAGCGCGTTGAGGGTAGCGATCGGTCGCGTTAAAAAACGGCAGGGCGTGCATTAGCGTAAAAATCAGGCGTCAGTGGAAAAACCACGGTTGAAATTGCATGACTTTCGCAACATTGCGATGGAAATTAACGATTTTTTTTTCGGGCTCGGGGAAAGAGAGTTCTGGGAAAAATTGCAGGGGATTCTGTTGCAAATTTGCCCCTTCTCCCCCTCCCCCACAGACAGATTGAGATGAGGACGTGGGATACATGGAACAAGTTTTAATTATTTATTAATTTTTTTTTTTTCAAAAAAAAATCTCAAATACCCCTGAGGGGGTAATCTCTCAAAAAGTTGGAAGTACTTATCAAACTTGGATGGACCCACAGAATGCGCTGAGGGAAACCCTTAAATCCCTCCCTGTTATAAAGACAGGTAATTAACTTAATTTCTTCATGATACTACTGAATTAAAATTTAAATTTCGGGATGACAAAAACTGATAAAGCGAGCCTGATTACTTACTGGAGGGCCTTGCCAGTTTAATTGTGATTATTTTTGTAATTTTGTTTTTGTAATAATAAATAATTAAATAAATTAGACTCAATGAATTTTGAGATGCTAAAAAGACTAGAAGACTATACCAAGAACAGAACATAAGATCACTAACAAATTTATGAATAGTTGGTGAGGTGAAATTTTTTGATGATGTAATGTCATTCAAGACCCTTTAGATCCTGCTTTTTAAAAAAGTGATCTCGGAGTTTTGTCATATTAGGCTTGGGGTTGGCTAGAGTATCTCATCGCTTCTTCTTTTCTGCTATTACACTTTTCAATTAAGCAAATCTAGTCTGAGAAAACGATGGATTTACTCTAGGTACACACCACACTACAAGAAGTAAAAACTGAATCCACAAAAGGAGAAAAATCCATAATTTTAGACCATCACACTTAGTGTCTTTTCTACAATTCTGATACTTCATCCATGCGCAAGCTGAAAGCTCTGACATGAATTACTACATGTCATGGTAAAAAACCACTTTTGAGTTTTGAGCTCCTGCAATAAGAGGAAAAAGAACCTGTGGAATTATCTACATAAATAAACAAGCACTGACCTGTAGAAATCATTCTCTGAGATGATGTCCCGAATGCTATCCTCTGGGTCAACTTTGTCGTAAAGCTCAACATGTTGGCTAGCACGTTTATTCGGCACATCATTACCAAAATCACCAGTTAACTTCAAAAACGATTTATCGCGGTATTTCGCACCTCCACTTTCAGAATTACTTGGCGAACTAATTGCAGGTTTGGCCGACCCATTCGATACGTCATCTTCATAGACGACACAGGCATCTTTTTGAATCTGGAGTGCAGCATCACTGATGCCATGCTGCATTTCTGGCCCGTTGACAGGGGCGCTTTGAAGCACCAGGTCATCACTACGACTATGTTTTAAATCGCTGAAGCCCATGTTTGCTCTGTCTTCTCTCGAGTATCTCGATAGAACGGGGGACCGACAAACATCTAGCAAGGCACAGCGGAATGAATCACTGCGAGGGGTTGTACTGGTTGGTGACTGATAGAGAAGATCAGTCATAATTCAGTAGGACTGAGTTGACACAATTAATATTTAGGGGTTATAAAATCAAGTAAAAGCTCCAAACAAACTTGGTATTAAACCTGTGAGATTGATCGACAATTTCATCGTTTCAATAACTTTGAGGCGGCATCGACTGACGAAAAGTAAAGACACCCAAGGATGAAATGCTTGAAAAATTGAGAAATATTCGCGCGTTCAATGATAAGTTGCACTCTTTGCACAGACGCACGATTGAATTGCACGAAAAATGCAGCGAAAAACACCTTCACAACAAAACGATAATCACCGAATTTCTGTACAATTATTGTAACAAAATAGAGACTCCGGTTTTGTCAGAATTACTGTCGAAAACTAACGCGTTTCAGCTGAAAATTTTCGAACGCAAGATTCTCGCGCAACAGAATCAAAACTGATTACAAATCGGCGACCGATAAACAACTCTTTGGATTTGCCAACACAACAGAACAATCTCAAATATTTCGACTTTACCGCACTCTAGCGGCAGTAGAGAGTCCCAACCTGTTTCACTCCAAGCCTGAAGAGTGCGCTGTTCTTGTCCTTATCAATGTTTGTTTACACCACTACCCCCCACCCATGCTGATAAGTGATAAGATTCAGTTCTCCTTTCAGTTTTGTGGTTTTCAAGGTAATAAAAAATCAAGTTCACCTTGGTTGAATAAACTCAGCAAGCCATTCGCTTGTCTGGTATCGTATGTACTCTAATCATATTCCTTAATCATTTTTGCTTTCATAAAACTCTGCATGGAAGTTCATTTTGAACAAGACTTCATTTGTGTTCAGCGCTCATCAACTGGAATTTTTTCACAGTCTTCCTTCAACAATCATTTTTAATTTTGTTCCTGTCATCCTCCAGGTACTTTTCTACCATGGCCTCAAACAAACGTATTGAAGTTCACAAGACAGAGGATGCTCTGATCAAGCGTTTGTGTGAATACATTGAAAATATCTCCAAGAAAGCCATTGAAGAAAGATCCGCTTTCACAATTGGTGTATCAGGTTTGTACGAATTCTTCAAATCGCATTAATTATTTACTTTATTTTCAAAGCTTTCAGTGAATTTTCAGTCACGCAATGGTAGTTGATGCAATGCTAACTGTTTTTATCACATTTGTCGGACTGTTGTTGCAACCAGATTTTCTCTTTTTGACTCTCCCTCATTCAAAGAATTTTTCCAACTCACATGCAGGGTCCAGTGCTCTCATGTAAATGTCATTCAGGGTTCCTAGATGTTGTCCATACTATTTAAAATGGGGAAGCATTTTCCCATAAGCTTTTGGTCTGTGCACGGTCCTTGCAGTTATACGGAAGATCCGCACGGCACGGACACACCTACCCGCACGCTTGGGATCACTGATGTCATTGCTTATTTTTACAGAATGTTTACTCTAGAATGAGGAAAAATTAGCAGGTATTCCATGTCATAAAGGTCGTTGGTTTTTTATTCAAAAGAAGAAACGAGGCAAGGAAAGCCATAGCATGGCAAGTCGAGACACTCGCACAATTTCTCGTGATAATATTGTGTTATATTCTAGTTTCAACATCGAATATAATTAAGTAGTTTTAGGTCTTAAATAGACTCTAGTATTAGGGAGCAGATTTGTCAAATTTTTTACGTCTTTGGATGGTATAATCTTTATCAGCCTCATCGCACTGCTGACAGATAAGAAAAATTTTAAATATTCCTTACATAACTTCCTTTCACTACTTCTAAAATGTTGAGCAATTAAGGAATCTCAGTATACTGATGAGAAAAGCAGTCTCATTTTTTGTACCTCTCACATCCCAATAAAAATTTTATTATTAAATTATTTATTATTATTTTTATTATTAATATTATATTTTATTAAATTTCTAGAAAGGTCACTGCTAGGATATAAATTGAAGTAAGGGAGCATGTTGAAAAAAGGTAAAATTAAAAAAACTCAGTCTCCATCTTATGCATTTAATAATTTTATGATTAAATATTTCAGGAGGGTCCTTGATTGGTGCGTTAGCCAAAGGCTTGCCCGGTGTCAAAACAGAATGGTCCAAGTGGAAAATCTACTTCTGTGATGAGCGGATTGTACCTTTTGACAATACCGAGTCTACCTATGGTGCATATAAGAAAGCCCTAGATGGAGTTGTCCCAATTAAAGATGATCAGTATAGGAAGATAGATCCAAAGTTATCTGGTAAGTTTGCAGTGTTTTTTGAGATAATTTCCTTCAGTCGCCATGAGAGCAGTGTTTACTCGTCAGAGTGTAGCGATGGCTCTTCGTGAAAACCATATTGACAATGAAACTACCAGACCATGTATCTAGTTTGCGGAGTTTAAAAATCTCCGCTCCTAATTTACATTTTGAAGGAGAACGAATCAATATCATTTTTTAAAATTTGTACAGATTTTTCTTCGCGTAGAGAGGAAAAAACACAAACATTTTAAGAATTGAAGTTGAGTAGTTTTCCATTTAAAAAATTAAGTATGACAGGAAGTCTACAATGTCGCAAACCAAGATACATGGTCTGGTAGTTTCACCGTTGATATATTTCAATTGCCAGTTTGAAGTTTTTACTTGTATCTCATTCATTCAAAGGGAAACAAGCCACCTTTACTGCTTTAGGTTTTTACAGAATATCATTTAAACAGAGAATAAAAATCTTTATAATTTTCAAGATAATTACTTTTCCATTTAAGGAAACAAAGTAAGCCAGAAGACGTTTGCAACATAGCAAACCAGAGTACCCACTTGGTTTGGGAGCCAAGCCATTGATATTCTTCAGTTATTTATGAGACTCTGTGATGAATGAAAGAGAAAAAAAATTAGATTTTTTAGAGAATTTTTACATTTATATTCTTCAGCCATTAATACAATGCTTTCATGAAAAGAAAGTAAAAAAAAGCTGACAGAAGTTTTTGAAGTATCTCGATTTGAATTAAATTCTATTTTAGTTCTGGAAATTATCTGCTAAAAAACAGCATTCAGTAAAAGTTAATAGACTGAATTTAGCAAAAACACACCAAGTCGCATTTTGGAAAATAACGCGTTAGAAGTGCTCATATCTACCTATTAACTCAACGTTAGTTGTAATTGTTTTCCTGTTAAGAATTCGAAGTTAAGACAAATTATTTTGAACATTAAAATAGTCATTGAAAGGCCTTAACATTGAGTCATACAGATTGATAAAATTTCAAGCCTCTCTCTCTCTCTCTCTCTCCCTCCCTCAGTTCAAACCTGGTACTAATTAGTGCATTTCTGTTAAAGTGTGTTTAATTGATGATGGTATTTATCATAGGTACCAACCTAAGTGAGTATGTATAAAAAATGCAAAGTTTGAAAATGACTCTCTTTTATTGTTTTCAGCCGAAGAAGCAGCCAAAGATTATATTGGAAAGCTGAAAGCTGACTTCGGAAATGTGAAGTTACCTCGATTTGATCTCCTGCTTTTGGGAATGGGCCCAGACGGCCACACCTGTTCGCTGTTTCCAGGGCATCCACTTCTCAAAGAGACCTCAGTGTGGGTCGCTCCGATCACGGACTCCCCAAAACCACCTCCCAGTCGCGTCACTCTGACTTTTCCTGTAATTAACAATGCAGCCACCTGTATTTTCACGATTTGGGGCGCTGGAAAAGCTGACATGATCAAGGTGAGAAGCGTGTTTTTCTTTGATTTCTCACTGATTGTAATTGAATCAGTGAGTTCGGAAACACACCAACTCAGGTTTTTTTCGATTTTCACTTTTTTACGGTTTAGTAACACTTATGGACGGAAGCATCTGCACGCAAAAGGAAATTTCGAAATTGCAATCGGAAGTGCTCGAAACAGAGACGGTAAAAGGGAAAAATCGAAGTATTTCATTTTAAATACCAATTTTTGGCCATTTCAAGGGAAACGGGTGACCATCCGATCTTGCGGTTTTCTTATTTGGGTTCAGTATACCTTGTACCAAAGTTATTCAAGCATTATTCAGGTCGAAAAATATACATTTTTCAGGGCAGACTATGAAAAATCAGTATCTGAAAGTCGGTGAGAACGAAAACATACCAACTTGGAAATTTTTAAACGGTTAATTCTTTGTCATCAAACATGGTGTATCAATTTCAACTTGGTGCTTTACAAAGTCTCTGAGTGCTTCTCCTTTGGCACCAAAAAGGTGTTTCTTAAACTAACTTCTTCGCCAGCTGCGCAGTTTTAGGTGTTTCCTGAACAATTTTTTTTTCTGAGTTAGTGTGTTTTCGAACTCACTGATTTAATAGTCGTATGAATGGCTAAAGTACAAAACCACGCACTCCTTTGCAATGTTTCAAAATGTTCCCACCTATTGTTTTTTTTTTTTTTTTGGAGAAGAACAAAAAAAAGCAACATAGAGTTTGGTGGTGGGCTTAAGGCTTGAAATTCACACAGAATATTTTGCAAAGAGAGGAGAATGATCAAGAAAGCTTTAAGGAAATTATGTTACTAGTTTGCCAAGTATAAAATTAAGTATGACAGGAAGTCTGCAACATTGCAAATGGAGACGCGTGTTTCGAACTTTAGCCATTGGTATGTATTTCTAGGGATTCTTGATTTATTTTACAGCCTAGCATCATCTAAGTGGGAGCTGTTATAAACCTGTATCAGTGTTAAATCTGATACAAAATGTCTACTTTCTCTGTGTGTTGTGCAGTGATTTGAAATTTTAACTCTTAGAAATCATATGTTCGTATTCAAGAAAAAAAATATGAACATTTTTGAGAAGTTTCCCTTCCGTTATATTTATGCTAGGGTATTCTTTTATCAGAGCTAATTGTAATTAATTGTGGGTAGGCTTATTCGTAACCATACTTAAGAAAAGGGATCTCAGTAAGCAGAGGTAAAGTTTTTTTTTTGGCTGGGTAGAGAAATCAGAATTTAAGTTTTCAATGGTTAAAACTCCAGTTTTTGAGGACTATCTTGTAACTGGTTTAGTTTATTTCTGAGTCTATGTGGGTCGTATCCAGGGCCGGATTTACCTACTTGCTACCCATTGGCCGCCTGTATTTTGCCACTCCCTTCTCATTCGTTTTGAAACATCAATAAAAACCATAAAATGAACATGCCGGAGGGGGAGGGGTGCATGAGACGCGTTTACTTGAGTTGGACACATTTTTGCGAAAGCCCTGTCAACACTAATAGCAAAAGTTCACGGAACTTTGCGCGAAAGTTAAGTCCCGTTAACCTATCTCTGTGTGGACAAGGCCTTCCATTTATAAGAAATGAACGAAAAAATTATGAAAGAACAAACATAAATGTGGCTTGATAATTTTAACTTCCGCCGCCTCGCCGCGTTTACCGCACTGTATTTGGCGCAATGCATGAGGTATTCCTTCAGTCTTGTAGGCGCTATGCGTTTCACACCGCGCCATCCGACCGTTGCTGACCGCCTTGTGTTTGACGCGATGCGTGAAGTATCCATGCAGTCTCGTAGGCGCTAATATGTGTTACATGCCGACCGCATCGCCGATGACTTCTCCTTTTAATATCAAGTCCTCGTCATCATTGCTCTCTGCGCCGCGCCACTCCAGGCCGAATTGCGTGTTGGTCTCTCTCTTAATTCGACTAATTAAAAGTTCTGTCTCTTGTATCCCCAAAAGACGACGAAATTAGAAATTACTTTACTCTCAGGAAATGAGAGATTTTGTCGCCTTTTCTCATTTGTGATTTTTTTTCTGATTCCAATTTTTTCTATAGGTACACCTGCATTTAAAAAAATTGCAAAATTTGCCGCCATGGGCCACGGCCCATATGGCCATCCACTAGATCCGGCCCTGGGTATCACAACACCACACTCCATTAGTGTTAAGGACGAAACATTGAAGCATGACAGATCAAAGGATCAAATGGCTTTTCCTCGAAACCATAATTTTTTAATTTCAAATTGTCACACCTTTTGTTTGGTTAGGCATCTATTGGCATGTTTTGTGCCAAAATTTACTCATAATAGCCCTGTTAGCTGTGATATAAATTTTCTTAGTTTAAATTTGTCTGCTCTGACGCCTCTTTCCTTTGAGGATTTTCTCATTTTTAATCCATGCATTGCTGACTTACAGGAGGAGACGAATGGAGTGTATGATGTTAAAATATTCATCAGAAATGTGATTAGACCTTGCATGTTTAACTTGCAAGTTTTTTGTTTGGAAAATCTCTCAGCTCTTATAAATTTCATAGACAATAAATTTTATAGACATGCGGCATCAGTTTCGATTCATTGACTTTATTTATGATCTCAGAGGTCCTCCTAGCCCCCTTCCTACCAAAATGCACCCAGGTAAATGAGGACTCGGATGTGAAAAAGGCCCCTCTCAGTTTTAGCGGTTCAGAATTTCCTTTTCTATTTTTACTCTTGAGAGAAAAATACAATGGCTGTAGAGAGATGGAAATTTAACTAAATATTCTTCACGATTGAATGATATCTTCACCGCAAATTTCAAGTTTAATGATTCAGTAGTTAACTCAAAAAAGAATATCTTGCTAGCGGTGATTCTCAACATTTTAACAAAATAGTGCCCTTTCTGCACCTAAGTCCGCAACTGTTAAACAAAATTAAATGATCTGTTGTTAAATTTGTATTTGATCGGTAGATATTTCTAATATTTTAATTAATTTGAGTTCATTGTTTCAGCGGGTATTGGCAGACAAGGAGGATCTTCCTGTAAATCAAGTTTGTCCGAAAAATGGCCTTGTTCACTGGCTACTGGATGATGCAGCTGCTACCAAACTAAATGGTCTATGAGACCTCTCAAAATTCAAAACTGAGAAGTTCTCTCAAAAATAGCTGGAAATCTCTAAAAGAGAGCCGGGATTTTACACTGATCAAGTAATTTCAATTTTTAAGGATCGTTCCTCAATAAGTTTTAATAATGTACATTCCACAATGGTTGAAAGGTTCTTTGTTTTGTTAAGTTATTAATGTGAATCAAGTTTTGTGCATTTATAAATCTAAGATTTTATATTTTTTTACAGCACTATTTTAAAAGAGTTTTCTAAAAACTGATTTGTTGATCACCGAGTGATTCTGTGCCTCTTTTTGTTTTGTTTTTAAAATGTGTTAAAACTCCTGGATTGCGTCTTTTGTTTCCTCCTCTGCCCATTAAATGGTTTTTTACTTATTTGATGAACAATTCCTTTCAATCTCTAGGATTGCTTTGAATTCTCAGCTCAAAATTATCAAGAATATTTTATTAGTTCTTTTTAGTAATGCATTAACACGGCAATATCTTTGAATGTCTCCAGATATTTAATTTCATCATGAGCGAGCCATCACAAATCAAAAAGTTTCCTTGTTTAACTGATTTTTTCCCCTTGTGGCAATAGAAAACATACAAAGATTTGTAAAAAATGTTGATGATGAGTTGATTACATCAGAGGATCCCAATTTACAGGAAATTAGGGACACTACAGTGTTTGTTTGTTTCTAAAAAAGATGTAGCCAATGAATTTTTCAGTCGGGTTTTCATAAGTTGGTTCAAAATTTTTTCGTGTGCTGATTTTTTTATGATCAAATATTTTAAAAGTACCAAACTAGGTCAAAGGTTTAAATAAAATTTAAAAACTCACTAGTCAGAGAAAATTCAAAACAATCCGAAGCGTGTTTCGACCCGTTGGATCATTTTAGTCTGATTATGGAATTAATTAGGTCTGCTCTGCCGATCGAAATAAAAATTACTCTGTTTGACGAATCAATCATCAATGAATTAGGTTTGAGTCGTTTATTTTTTTTATGAATTAAGGCAGTTCTACTTCACCAATACAGAGAAAAAAACCTGTAGAGAGGAACGGAGAGAATGAGAAATTGTATTGCTGTGTTAATACGCATAAATTATCCTTTTTCATCGTAATTCAAAAGGGATGACTCATAAGAGAGGAATATTCTTTTTTAATTTTAAGAGAATAACCTGTTCGAAAATTCGAAAGAACAGAGGGATGGAAAAACAAAAATTCAAACAAACGCATGTAAACAAAAAAAAAATAAAAATACTTTATAATTTTTTTTGGATACAATTAAAAAGTTTACAACAGTATACTGAAGAGTAATACAAAAGTTTCCTGAAACAACCAAGTTATTTTGACGTTTATAATATGAGTTGAGTTACAGGAGTAAATTCAGATTATAGATGCATTCTTATTAATATGAATAGTAATGTTAGGCATTGAGAACTGAGGACTGAGTGGTGATTAGAGCAGTGAGCAGGGAAGCCTCTTAACAATATTCCAGGTCTGGATGAAGCATTGAAAAAACAGTTTCGAACAGTTGTTACGAGCAAATATTCTAAAATGATTAAAAAAAAAATAACAACTGCATTATCCATTCTGCATGACTATTTTGAGTTGTATTTTTCAAAAAACTTCTGAGGTTACTCCTCAAATCAAAGATTTAAACAGACTTCAAGCACTAACCCAAATTAATATATTTTGTAATTGTTTCTTAAATAAGGGAGAAAACTTTGGAAAGAACAATAGAAGATGGGTATAGATTGACATAACAAGATCATGCTACTATTAAAGAGAAGATATTGAATAGGTATTAGAAGTGCTATCTCAAGGTGATAGATTGCGTAGCATTACAGCTTCAATTAGGCATTTGGTTTTTTAAACTTATTAGCGACAGAAAGACGGAGAAATAGTATGGCATCACAATGAGTTAGTATATTAACTTTAGAATGAATGAAATACAGCAGAAGCTTTCAAAAACTTAGGTAGAATATCTTGACTGAGAAGACTGAATTCAACAAGGAGACAATATTCGCCGATAAGAGTCATAATTGCCAAGCTCCTTACAGAAAGCAATCTAACATTGAACAATGAAACATATGCAAAGAACGCATCTCCATTTGTTATAGGGCTACTTTTTTCAGCTTATGTCAACTTACACATCAAAATTGATTAGATTTTGCTGCACGATGCGTATCTCATTCCTTTCTCGCAAAAAAAAAAGAGATAAAGAAAAACCAGTTCGACAATACAGCACAATTCAATTACTGATAACCAAAAATGATATTACATAAATACGGCAATGACGCTAAAATTATCAGAGGCCAAATTAACATGTTTCGATTGATAAGATTGACGGTAAATTCCACAGGCAGAATATTTTGGTTAACTTTTTCGACCTACTTATGGCAATATCTTTTTTGGAGATAAACAGCTGAAATGTGCCTCCACCTATGCTGACTTCGTTTTTGCTTTCAGTTAAAAAAATAAGCTTTATTTTACCACTATACATTCTGAGCTTTCGTATTTATTCACATTTGCTGACAAGCTGAGGTAAGCCCAAAAATGGTAACACTATAATATGTGACAAAATTAATTGCATTAACTTAGCAATTATGCTTCTGCATCAATAAAAAGCATTAGATTAATGAAATACATATGTTGAAAGACAAAAGCTACAGTGATGCCAATTTCGGTGAGTCAAAACAGTAGACGGTTGATAATTTCATTACTTTGTATCTTGCAATATAACATATTAATTGCTGTTAAAATTATTTTCTCCATCAAATGCACTACTTAGTCTTCCTGCGGGCCGATTTGTAAAAATTTTGTGTTAGTTGACTGGATGAGACAAGACTAAAGTAAAATATAAGCATGAGATTGGTTGGTTTTGTCATTTATCTTTTTAGTGTCACCAAGTTGGATGGAATGAACGATGAACCGAGGGTACCTCTTAAGTTGCCGATAGTTTGTTACAAATTCCATCCTGCCGCGCTAAGGAAAAACGCTGTATGAACATGTGAATGTTGCCAAATTTTCTCTCAGAAAATATTTATTTTTGAAGAAAGTTGTGAACATTTTTCCTTGAAGTTGTTAGACACTTCAGATCAAACTACAAACGAAAGTCTCTGAAAAAGCGGAGGGAAAGAATCTACAAATTTTTCCAAAACTTCATAGTTTGTCACAGGAAATTTTACAACGTCTGAGGGCTCATACAGCGTTCTTCCTTGGCACCGCAGAATAAGGAGGGAAATCAGGAAAGCTAACGAATGCCAAAACTCCATTTCACCTTCTTATCCAGTCAAAACACACAAGATTTCAGCGGACAGTCGGCTGGAAAAGATAAAAACTCCAGTCCTTCGTTCCTGTTTGTAATCAATACACTGAAAAATCACTGAAGCAATGGGGAAGAGAGAAATTCAAACTTCAGTTTAAGATTTTTAAACAATCAATCTACATTAAAAAAATGATGATAATCTGAGATACTATTGAGACTATTTCTCACAAGGCCTTCGATCACTGATGTTAATAGCAGGATAACATCTATAATTAGATTTAATGGCTAGTATCATTCACTGTCTACATTAGAGATTCACGATTGCTCTAATTTTTTTTCGCCTCCACAGCTAAATTAATAGTACAGACCAAATTTTTTCCACTCTTCAGTGTGGCATATTATTTGCAAATAATTTTTATTATAATTTCTGAAGCTATGACAATCTTTCAAGAAGTAACTATTAAGAGAAACAGAAAGAGAGAGAGAGAGAGAGAGAAAACTGTTTACAAGGAGTATCATATGCAGAAAAAATACAACCCTCGAACCATTAAACAGTAAAATCTGGTCTCCAGTCACAAATCAGAGCGGAATTAGACACTCAAAATGGACAGAGGGTAGTGTGGAGAAATTAATATTTTATGATTGGAAAATGGAAAATGATAGTAAAAAAAAGGAGGAATGAAGGAAGAGCAAAACAAACCACAAGAATAATAAAAAAAGAGAAGAAGACGGGTGAATAAATTAATTAGAGGGGAGAAATGAAGAAAGTCCATCTTTTAAAACAAAGAGAGACAGACAGACGTCAATTGATAAAAAGTGAAAGATTATAATTTTTCTCTCATTCATTCAAAATTTCGTTGAAAAGACTTGAAAACTTAGAGGACTCAACTCTTCATGTCTTGGGCGAAAATTGTTCTTTTTCAAAGGGTATTCTAGACCTATGTGCAAAAAAAAAGAAGGAGGAAAATGCATTTAAAGAGTCATAGCAAGGTTTGACAGAGTGCTCTGATGTTAGCGTATAAGAAATAGATACGATTTAGTAAACAATAGAAATTCAATTTCTTATACTGTCCATTCTTGATCCAACAAAAAGTTTCGAATGGAGCAAAATTAAATGAAAATTGATGAAATACAGATCTCTAACCAAACAGATAGAGACCCAAGATTTTATCTTCTGAAGAATCAAAGTACATGATGTCACATCACTTTGCTCTGGAACCTTTATCTGTTTGCATCAAAGAGTTTGAAATGCAAGTCTTAATTTTAAGAGCGCTGCACTATCTCATCTAACTTGGTGTCCAATAAAATATTGATTTACAATATTGCCTGCTAAGGAAAAACGCCGCATGAACATATGGACGTTGCCAAAATTTTAGCCACAAAATTGAGTTTTGAGAAAAGTCGTGGGTATATCATCTTGAAATTTTTAGATCTTTTAGATTAAAATGCGAAAATAATTTAATGAAAAATTGGAAGAAAAATATTCATAAATTTTCCTGAAAATTCGTATTTTATCAGGGGGAATTCGGTATCGTCTAAAGGTTCATACGACATACTTCGCAGCATGGTAGAATAGCACTGACAACTTGTTTCTGACTCAATAAACTAGGGTAATTCTGAAGCAGTGTATAAAATATAACACTACAAAAACTGGGCTAAAGTAAAATAATATCAAGAATGTACGGTTGATAAATTACAATAAATGCTCAAAACTGGCCTGTAAAAACTCAAGCTGACATTCACATCAATTTACCGCCAGACGGATTCTGAGAGCTGTTTTTGATCAACAGCTATTCAGACATTGAGCTTGAGTTTTTGACTCGGGAGTTTGAAGATTTCATAATAATTTACTGTCATCTATTATTTGTAAACTGGTGTTTTCTGGTTTGTAGTCTGATACTTGCGAGGTAAATTAAAAGAATTCTCACTTCACTGACTACAATTCATAATCGAATAATAAGGCTAGAACTGAATTGGGTTCTTTTGTGAAAATGAACAATTTTTTTTTAAATCAATTGTGGATTGGCGAAGCTAATACAGGCACAAGGAAATACCTTTGGTTTCAACCACATCAAGAGTTTAGAATCTATCTAAGTAGAAATAGAGAAATTCCTGAGCAACCTTATCTATTTTTATACTTTCCTCATTTTTAAAAAGCAGAAACTGATAAAAACAGGCTGAACCTAATAACAACAACAACCCTCAATGATAAAGAACCTTAGCTGCCATTTCTATTTGGTTCAGTCAATTTGATAAAGGGGAAAAAAATTAAGATTGATTTTTGGATTTAAGCCTAGCTTGGATTTGTTTTTAAACAGCCATTCGCCTGAAAAATCTGACAAAACTCGCACATTAGAATCCAAGTTTACAAAGCACATAGCCTAGGAGAAAAAAAACATTTATTTGTAAAATTCAGTTCCCTTGAGTTCAGGCGGGCTTGGTTTAAATAGCTGATGGATTATTGCAATTTTCCTTTTGGCTGCTAAAAACAAATCAAAATTTTTATAATTTTTTAGTGCTTGTCTATTATGTAAGTGCATGGTCTTCCTCCGTCTTTATAACTCAAGTAATTAATTCCATAATCTTAGAAAATAATAACTTAAGTGATTAAGTTGGAAGATTTTCAAAAACCAAGCAACAATTCAATAATAAACAAGCAAGGAGACAACGAACACAACTTAATTTTACAGCCTCGGAAAAAAAACTAAAAGAAATGGCAGCACAGTTAGGGCGTTAAATTAGATAAACACATGGACTAAACAATCGGAACAACAAAATGGCGTTAGACGCAACATTTCCAGCGGCACCACCTTCCGACCAGTGAAACTAGCCACCGGTACGCAACTGGACGTTCCTTTAAATTTTATTTTAATTTCATAAGATCACAGCCAGTCAAGAAAGTAAAAGAAAAAACGATAAAAAAATAGAAATAAGTTAAAAATCACGTCATGTTGACTCCTAGCGCCTGCCGACACCTTTCGTAAACGACGTAACTAATACTAACAGCTGGCGCAACTTTCAGAAAGTTTGGTGTGATACCCCGATAGAGTCCTGCAAATCCTTCCTCTTGCAGAATTGTTCGCAGAAGGCCTGTCATAGTGTACTGCTCGCAAGAACCAACATTGGTAACTACTGCAAAAAGGGAAACAAGAACAAAATGATATAGGACGATTTGCAAAAGAGCAAAAGAAAAGCAAGGGAATAAAATATAGGGGTTGATATTGCTGATTCAGGGCTCTCTTTATAGTGACACTTGCTTTAATGAAAATTTTTCTATAACGAATGAATCGTCTAGTCCCTTTAACTTTTAAATGTATTTAATGCTGCTGGCTAAAACGAAAATTTCTCTATGGCAAAAAATCGTTCAGTCCCTTGCTAGTCCTTACAGGGAGAGAGTACTATATGTACTATCATTTGGTGACTGATTGAAAAAGTATATTCTGCCAAACCTAAAAGCAACCTAATTAATTGCTAAAAACAGAAGAAATTGATTAATTGCAGAGTTTCAAGAATTATTGCTTTATCTCAAATGGAGAGATAATCACTTGATATTTAAATGAAAGATTATCAGAGAATATTTTTCATTTAAGTGGGCAAGGGAAAAGAACACAGTCTGTGCAAAACTAATAATTAGTCATACGCAAAGATATTAAATTGAAATATACAGCTAAGTTTTAAACTAAAATATACAGTCATGTAAATACATAATTATACTTTATAGAAATTGACATCTGTTCTTAAATGAATATTTGATCATTGCAAACCATTAAAAGATCAGCGCATTTGGTATAATCAAGAGATAGCAGTCTGTTTCGAATTAATGTTCTCAAGGAGTGAAATGAAATACCTTGTGCTTGAAGTCGTGTTCTGACTAGGGCTAAAGGATAGGAGCAAACTTGTCCACAAGTGCTGGAGGCAGTTCCGCAGGCCAGAAGTAACAGGACACTAGGGGCTTCCGCATCATGCTGCCTAATGTAGCTATTTTTTAAAGTCTGAAATAAAATATGATAAATTAATTGTACAGTAATTTAATTAAATTACAATTCGCTGAAAGTTAAAAATTAGGACAAACAAAAAAGCTTCAAGACTACATCCGTGGTATATACATGCCAGAGAGAAATATTCGGGGCGCGGCAAATAATTGCCACACACAACTGTATTATGATTGATAAATTTTTGTCTTCTTTTCACTTTTGGTGCATAAAAGGTTTTTTGGCATGAAATTTTATTTTCTATAGGATATTGCTTTATTCATTAATGCTAAAGAATCATGACAATAGGAGAGCGTATTTGTTTTTGACCGACAAACTAACCAAATGATTATGCAGATATTTCAGAGGGCCCATTTACACCTTTGGTGATCGAAGAGATTACTGTTAATTGCTGGGTCAGTAGCACTGCTCCACCATTCAAAACGACTGATTTAAATGACCTCCAAGGTGATTTATTCTAATTTTTCATTTTGTCTTCAAATTTTTTCTCTGACTAGTTCCTCTTTAATCATAGCGTAATGAGGAACTTCAGCACATTGACTGATACGCCCATTATTGGCGTGATTTGAAGTTTTCAATTTCCGGGGACACTATCTCCAAGTTCCAAACCTTTACCATAATATACTTTCATGGACCCAGAGAATGTACCACTATCCCCAAAGTCAGGACGTCATATCTTAAGTGCATTGTTGGTGTATACACATGTGCCGCAATATACGCTTGAATCTGCGGCAAATGACATATTATTGAATGCAGTTTTTAAATGAGGTATCAGCCATCGATTTTTTATGTATGGATTTTCCCATACAACCAAGAAAGAAGATTAATTTGATTAAATTTTAGGTACCTCGTACACAGCTAGATCAATCCCGGCATACGGTAGAATGCCCAGGAGATTTGGCACGTAACCTCTATAGAAACTCTGCCAGCCTCCAGTTAAGTACATTTTGGTAGCAGCATCAGCTAAACTTTTATATTCTCCAGTTTTCCGGAGCGCCAGTCTAGTTTTCATCACCTGTGGGGAAAAAAGATAAATCATTCTAATTATTGTTCACATTTCAACAATTAGAGCTACTTAGATGGAATGTATTTTAGTGTGTTTTTATTGTTGTCTGCATTCGGGCTATTGTGTGTGTCTCTCTCTCTCTTATCACTTAAATGGAGGTTATAAAACTTGTGAGATGGTTGAATAATATTGGTGAATAATTTTAAAGATGTAGAATTAAAGTATGTGATTTTTAAGATGACTGAAAAGCAATCACGACTTGTTTGTGACTAAAATTAATGCACAAGAGAACTTTTGATGGAAGATAATTGATCACTAGGGGGCTATGCTACCTGATCACTTCGGAGTGCGAAGTGATTCATGCCTTCGGTGTTATATGTTACTCTTGTGATTTTATATAACAGAGTGAGATTTAATTTTTTATTAGAATTTTTTTGACTCATGAACAATTTGAAGCCATAGGGAAGAGGCGTCTGGAGCAGTTTAAAAAGGACTACTTGGCTTCTTCAAACAGTTAAGGTATTTCCTGCTTTTCAACTCTTCACAGACCTTTCACTCTCAAAAATCGTGTCCTTCCTTGAAGTTAAATTTTCATAAGGAGAAGAAATAAGACAAAGGACATTTTTCCTCACCTCTAATGGATAGATGACAGTTTGACTAAATCCACCGGCTAGCGATCCGGCGACGAATCTTTCATATATAGTTAAATCACGGGTGCTATTTCCTCTAATCATCCGCTTGCTTTGTTCATAGGCCATGAATTTAAGCGCAGACTCTGGTGCAATTTTCAACACATTAATACCATTACCGCGCCACAGACTGAATACGCCTCCTTCTTGCAGAAGCGTTTGTAAAGTATGTCTAATTTTGCTGGACTTGTGGCCATGCACCTAAAAACAGAAAACAGTTTCATCAGAGTAATGAATGATATTTAAAAAACTACGCACAAGATGAGATAAGGAGGAACTAACCACTTTCCACTTACAAACCTAAAAAGTGATCCATGCCCTCATACAAATTGCACTATTTTCTATTTCTTAAACAATAGAATCGACCTGAGTGTGTAAGGATTATTGCGAACTCCTTCAAATTCGACTGATGCAATTAGCAATGACTTTCACTTTCGCTGTAAGGAACCTTCAATGTGCGAAAAAACCATTTTTCAAATATTTCAATAATCCTCAATCATGACAGCAGCCATAGGGTCCTCGTAAGCTGGAGGTTTGCGGATGGGAGGAGCTTCCTTTCAGAAGACACAAGGCGGATTTTGAAAAGCATTGGAATCTCGTCCTATAAATAGCCTCATTCGGGGGAAAATTTGTTCCCCACCCCCTGCATTTTGAAGTTTACCTTTCCCTCAAGGGCTAATTTTATAAAGTTCAATCGAAGTTAGAACATCTTTAAAGAGTCTTGGAGCCCCCATTTGCCAGAAATGACGCTCTTGCATCTCAGATCTTATTGCACCAAAAGCGTAAAAAAGCACCTACGTTTGTTAAAGTGGCAATATAGATCATGAAAGTGCGGAATCAAGACACGGAGAAAAATTTGTGTGTTAAAATTCCACCAAAAGGGAAATTTTGCCTTTAAAGTACATTCGAATCTCACGACAAAATGTTTAAACTGACAGGGTGTGTTTAAAACAGGCTGGCCAAAAATTAGTACTTCTACAGTGCTTTTTCAGCACATTCTCATGAAATTCAGTACCTCCCCAACAGAAAAATTTAGTACTTTTGTAGTACCTCCATATGAAAAAATTCGAAAAATTTCGAAAATTGCGATAAAAAATTTCATTGGCCGTTATAGCGATCTTGCAGGCAAATACTACTCCAAGAACCAACGCGCAGGGGAGTGCATACTTTCCAGGCTTCATTAAAAAACATGCGTAGTACAAAGGAAAAAATTCTGGACCTTTTTGCAAAATTTCTGCTCTTTCTCAATACTTTCCGACCGACCTCAAACTTTTTTTTTTAAAAAAATCAGTACTTTCTTCGAACTTTCCGAACTAGTAGACACTCTGTTCCACCAAAAGGCAAATTTTCCCCTTTTAAACACGTTTGGATTTCATGAGCAAATGCCAACCGCACCTCCCTTAGATAATCTTCCATCCCTTTGGAGGCGGATCCAGCATTTGGCAACACCAGTTTTCCTCCATTTAAACCTATGCTAAATAATCGATTCTTATCGGAGCACTTGGCCCCTCCAAGAATCGATACATTTCCATAGGTTTAAATGGAGAAAAGATAATGTTGCCAATTTGCTGGATCCGTCAATGCCTGTAATACCCACAGTACTTCATAACTGAGCTTCGTATGTACCTGAAGATAAACCTTGAGCCTATCCAATGGCGCAGTGCAGGTCCTGGAAACGGCACCGGCAAACCCGCCAGCCACCAGATGGCGCCACCACATCCCCGTTTTCATCTCATTTTGAGTGAAATCGTCCGGCACGTTCAAGTCTTCTCCAATGTCCAAGTACTGTAACACACCAATAAGAATTTCTATTAGTCCAATGTGCAACAGTGTAACCAACATTAACAATTTGAGGGGAGTAGAGCGAAAGAAGGGGGGAGAGAAAGAGGGGGAAAGAGAGAGGAAAAACCCTGGTTTAAGGTCAAAAATATCGATTTTAAAGTTTTCGATGTTGAACTCTATCCAACGATGTCAAGAACATTGGGTGTAAGTTTCAAGCCATAATTTGCGTTGTTAGTGATAAATGATACAAGCGTTCTAAAGCGAATCGTTACTAAGACAGACAACGGCGCCAGCATTAACAGCGCTTCCGTGCTAAGTGAAAACGCCGCAAGAGTAGCCAGGCGTTGCCAAATTTCCCAAGACAAATCACGAATTTTCAGGAAAACTTTGGAAAAATTCCCTTCCGATTTTTCAGAGGATTTTACTGGTAATTTGATCCAAAACGTCTGAATATTTCGAGAAAAAGTATCCATAACTTTCTTCAAAAATAAATGGTTTCTGAGAGGTAATTTGGCAACATTCGAATGCTCATACGCCGTTTTTACTGAGCCGTTTTCTCGAATCTCCATTTTTCGTCCTCAAACTTCAAATTACTGCAGAGGGGTCAATGTTAGGAATGGTTAGTAGTTCTCAGCTCCAAAAATGCAGAAATCGTAACTTTCCAGCCGAAGTATCACAAGCGCCATGCGACGTTCGAAAATTTCCGCCGTCATTTTATTTTTTTTACAGAAAAATTGTTCAACGAAGCAGTCCAAAAATTTCAACGAAGCAGTCCGAAAATTTCACTGAATATTCTTTGTTCTTCCGATGAAATTCAGTAAAATTTTCAAACAGACTCAACCAACAATTCCTCTGTAAGAAAATGAAATCGCGGCCGAAATTCTGAAACGTCGCATGGCGCTGATGATACTTTGGCCGGAAGCTGACGAAGTAACCTTTCTAAGCTTCGATATAGTCATCTCGCCCCCCCCCCCTCAACAAGGGACACTTTGTACCTAAATCCGCCCCATATTTCACAAACCAAATTAACTTCAATCACTAGCCGTGGTATTATATGAATATCAGTTTTCAAAAGAGAACAAGTCCATTTTTGCATGAGCCTTGGCTTGCATAAAAGGACATACTAACTAAGACTCATCGTGGAATGGACCAGTGGCGTGGCGTGCTTTGCGATATATCGATTGCTCTGCCATTCAAACCTGTGGAAAAGGATCTATAGACAGGGTGTTCGCAGCGAACATCTTGATAATCGATTCTTTACCACAGCTTCAAATGGGAGAAGATCGATAATTATAATCGATTACTCACGCCTCGCCACTGGAATAGACCTGACCCCTTTTGAAAACAACTGATTCGTATGGTTTGGCTCTTTAATCGGAAGTTAGCTAATAATACAATTTTCCTGAGGTGAGCCCCTAGTAGAGAAGATATAAGAATGTTCTGACGTAACTATAACCGAGTGCATTACATAATTTCAAGAGCCGCATTTACTTGTATGCATGGGTCGACTATCTGCTGTAATGTCGAGTGTCTGTAAAATTCCGCTATCTCGTCTTGAACCGGTGGTGCAAACACACAGCACACACGACGATCGTGTTGTGTTGTGTCACAGACTGCGAATTCATGAAATCGCACATCGGCCGACCAATTTTCTCGGTAAATACGCGGTTATTCCATTGGTCTTCGTAGGTTTCGAGTGTTTGATTTCGACTCCAAGAAACAAACACGATGGATTTACGTATCGAAAGATGATATAAAAGGCGTATTCGCTTATTTCTTGCCGTGTTGAGTTATGATGCTTTCGAAAACCTCTTGATGAGAACCAATTTTTTTACGGATTGTACAATCTCCAGTGAAAATTGAGATGTTGCAAGTCCTCATTTGGTCTCTGTTTTCTTTGATTTTCCTCTTTTTTTACTTTTTGCCTAGATTTAACATTTAGATGCCATCATGATTCTTGAACTCCGGTAAAAATTGGCGATAAGAGCTGCGTTTCAAAATACCATAGGAATTCTTACAGCCGGCTAAAGAGGGCTACAGAAAATCATATAGCTGGCTGTAGAATGCGGAGAAAATCATAAGGCCGGGCTATACGAAGCGATAAAAAATTATGCAGCCGGGCTACAGTTCCTATCGCCGGGCTTTCCACTTTATCGCCTGGCTATTGCTTTTTCGCCATCGATTATAAAAGGCTATAAGAAATTGTGTAGAAATTCGTGGGCTTTGGAAATCATTAAGTTTGATACGGAACTACCCTAATATTTACAAAACACACGTTATATTTTCCTTTAATACATATTTTTTTTCATTAATTAAAACGAGAATAACCCATACAGGATGTGCAAACTTTTCAAAATCATGAAGTGAAAAACGCTGACTCCGCCGGATTAAATATTAGAGCCTAACACAAAGCGGAGCGGCGACGCGCTGGCGCCTACAAACCCAACAGGGATACTTCACGCATTGCGCTACGCGTGAAGTATCCGTGTTAGGTTTGTAGGCGCCAATGCGCCTTTCGCGCTGGCTGCCCGCCTGCCGCACCGCAGCGTGCCACGGCGCTTGAAGCAACTATTTCACACCAGAGGTATTGCACAGTATCATACAAAACTGAAGGAGCTCTAATATATGAGGAATGGCAGGCATCCATCAAAAGTACGGAGCTTTCCTCGCAAAATAAATCAAGATACTACGGCCTTTTTACGCAAGATGAAGCTCTATCCGAATCGCATACACAAGAAATGGAGGGCGCCCTGCTTCTTTAGAAAAACGAGGAACAAGTCTCTGACTTGACTAGATTGCAAGCCCAACTGACAAAAACGCAACAAACTTCCCGACTTTTTCGATCGATGATCAGTGACCTCAAAGCAGATTATCATCAAATATCAATAGGTCCGATAGATCCGTTACGTAACTTCGTCATGAAAAATCAGGAAATTTGAATACAGAGAACTAATGGAATCTTGCGCACTTTAAAAGATGTTTCTTGCCCTTAAAATCTCATACAAAACACGTTTGAGCAGTTCGAAAAGTCTGCATCAATTTTGAAGTAGTCAATCAAAGCTCATGGCTTACCCTAAAATTAATGAATTTGAACTTTCAACCTGGATTTTATTTTTTTATTTTTTTTAAATTTTTTTTTTTTTTGGTCAAAAATAAAAAGAGAAGAAAATACCAAACAATGAAGCATAAAGCGGCCATGAAAAACAAACTTTCGCGTCCGTCGGTCAACGTATTGGGGACTAAACAAATCCTCAGAATCTTTTTGGAAAATGATCAAAATGGTATAAAAGGTCATACCATAAAATACAAGGGGGCACTTTCTCCGAATAGTGCCCGTTAAAAAAGTTCAAGTCCACTTCTCTCAGTTCCGAATAGATGCAGCTCGGTGCCATTTCGCTGACCTCAGTCCTTTTGTAAGCCGGGCGGGGGACGGGGGGGGATGCAACCCCTCGTTGGTCGCGTCCCTAACTCAGCTGATGCCGTAAAAAAACCCGCGACCTTGACCTCGAGACGGTGCCCGGAAAACATTGAACGCGCGCCCAATGAGCTCCCGACTTCGCCCTCTGCGGAATACATTCGAAAAAACTAACGGACCCCGTATTCTTCCCTCGTCCGCGGTCTCGACGGCTCATGAATGCGGAGCAACTTGCAATTTTATTTACTCTCCCTCTTTGAATGTGTTCCATGGTGTCTTAACTCATCGCGGGCATTGATTTCCATACACGGGCTCGGGCCGCACAGTGGATCGAGTCAATGGGAGACACTGGAAAAAAAAAACACATTGGATCTAGAGTCCAGACTCCTGAAAACATTGACAAGAAAAAATACTCTTGATTCAATCAGGTTTTTGCTTGCATCAAAAGGAAATCCGCTCAAATTAAGAGGCTTGGTTCTTGATTTAAGCAAAAATCCGATAGAATCAAGAGTATTTTTTCTTGTATATGTTTTTAAGAGTCTGGACTCTAGATCCAATGTGTTTTTTTTCCAGTGTAAGGGAAACAAAATTTGGAAACTTTAAAAGCTCATAACTCCGTTATTACAAGAGTTCGAGGTCTTAAAAATGGTTCCACTAGTTTTCTCGTAAAATTCACTTCAAAAAGCACCCCTCGAAACTTTAAAATTTGACGAAATAAACGCGGAAATTTGCAGTTTCAGTGAAGAAATTCATGTCCGACCTCTCTCATTGACTCGATCCACCGTGCGCCGTTTGCTTAGCCGGCCGCAACCCGCCCTTAAGCACTGCCAAGTCCTACCACGCTGAGGAAAAATGGCGTATGAACATTCAGACGTTGCCAAATTTCTTTTCTTAAAATATTGGTTTTTGAGAATAGTTATGAATATGTTCACACAGAGATAAATTTCAACCCTGATGTTTGGTTAATACGAGAAGTAAAACACAAAATATGCTTTCGGTTGACAATTTCAAGAGAAAATGCTGGGTTAATTAGATTACATTTTGCAATTAAGAACTATAAATTCCGGCCCAGTTTAAAAACAACGTATATCCCATTAGTTTCCCTATGCACATAAGTGTTTTTTCAGATGAGTTAGAATTTATAGCTCCGTATTGCAAAATGCAGTTCAACTGTCTTCTTGAAGAAATGGACCGCGTTAAGCAGAAAGGAACCAAGCCACATCAGCTATTGCCGAATCTTACTTGACAATCTAATTTTTTACAAGAGAACGTTTGTACGAATTATTTTGAGAATTTTACGGAATTTACAACGTACTATGCACTGGGGAAAAAAAAAACACATTGGATCTAGAGTCCAGACTCTTAAAAACAACGACAAGAAAAAGTACTCTTGATTCAATCAGAATCTAGCTTAAATCCAGAACCAAGCCTCTTAATTTAAGCGGATATTTCATTTTGATTCAAGCAAAAATCCGATTGAATCAAGAGTATTTTTTCTTGTCAATGTTTTCAAGAGTCTGGACTCTAGATCCAATGTGTATTTTTTCCAGTGTGCAGAAAAATCACTGAAATTCGCAAGAAAGTCCGC